ATTTTTTTTATCTTATATTTTATCAAGTTTTAATATTCTTCTCTTCTCTTTTGAATACTTATCTTTTGCTAGCAATCTTAATTTTTATAATATACCTGTACTTAGTTTTGCTATCATAATTTTATAGTCACTTTTTGTGATATAATTTGCTTCTACTATCTATATTTCAAGATGTATTAGTATAGTCTAATCAAGGCTCATATATAGTCTATTCTTGTATTAACTATCTTATTTGACTATATGAATTCTTTTTTATATAAGTATATTAATCTAAATATATCTTTAAAACTTAAATCTTCTAACTATTTTAAAAGAAGAAATAACTGTTTTCTATCTGAGACTTCATTGCTTTGATCTAACTCTTTAAATCTAATATCATTAAAGTCATCTATAATAATAATTTTAATATTGTCTCTTTTATAATCTTTTATCTTTTTAATTACTTATTATTGAATTTTCTTCTTTTCTTCTTTATTGTTTAATAGGATATATATATAAATTACTAGTAATTTATACTTTTTAAATAATATTAGTATATCGATATAGTAGTTACTATATCTTATGACTTAACCTATGTATTTTTCCTATACTTTACTAACTATTAAATTTACTTCAGAACTTTTTAATTTGTTTTTACATACTTCAGTTCAGAATTCTACATAATTATTCCTTTTTTTAAATATAAATTTACTTTGTTGTTTTATAATATTTGTTTTTTTTTTTTTTGGTTGTTAAAATAGCTTACATTGTCAAAAGAATTTTATTAGTATTACAAACAAAATTATATATTGATAATCTCTACTATTTATAATTACATGAAGAGTATATAACAAGCTACATATATAACTTTAGTTATTGTCTATTTTAAGTAGTTTGTTACACAGATATTAAACTATCTGATTAGTTCTACACTATGCTACTATACTAGTAACTATCTGTGAGTTACCTATTTAAACATTCTGTTTATTAATCTATACAGATCTAACCTAATGTTATTGCAACATATAACTACTTAAGTTAGCTAACTCATTATAGATCTATTTATTCAAAACATCTTAGATCTTCTTAGAATATATTATATCAAATATATTACTAGTATTGCAAAGCTAATTAACCTTGAAGCAAACCTACTAGAGTGTATTTTATAGATTTACCTAGTTTAGATATTTGTAGATATTTATACAACTTCAGGTTCTATCTTGGTTCTCTACTAATCAATTAATCTAGTTTTTTTTCAATATTTAGTTAGTCCTAATTATTTTTTGTTTAGAAATCTCAAAATCTTCTACTTTTATTAGACTGAATTTTCTTCTCAAATCAGACTTTAACTGATATAATTCTATTAAAAGACTATACTACTTTACTGACTCAGAATTCTACTATGCAGATCTTCTGCTTGTATATTTTATCAAGATTTATTTATGTAATATTATATCATACTTTCAAGTTCTGATTAATTTAATACAACTTAATTTACAAAAATATGCCTTCAGAAACAAACAGAGTTTACTGTAATATATCACAAAGTCTAGAAAATTATTCAAATTTATCAACAGTAGAATTTGAACCCCAGATCTATTGCATAGCAATCTGATAACCTATAATAAAAATAAAAATAATAAAAAAATAAAAATAAAATAAATAAAACTCATTTTATAATAATATAAATATTTTTATTTTAAAGACAAATTACTTAAAAATCTAAATGCTTATATATCGTAATTAACTAAAACAATTTTAGTAATTTTGATATAATAAGAATTGAATAAGAATTGAAATAATAACTTTACAATCTTTTTATTCAAAACAGAAATCTTTTATTTAATAAAATATATTGACGTAAATCGTTACTATATGCCAATAAAGTTGTATACGTATTATATAATATATATTACGTATAACAGTATATTTATACGTATAATAGATTATATATATAGTTATTATTTTTACAATGTACATTTAAGTAATTAAGTCACGAATAATTCATAAAACAAATTAACGATATAAAAGTTACTTTTTTTTTTTTTTTTTTTTTTTTTTTTTTTTAGAAATTATTAAAAATTTTTATATTCGAATTTTAAGAATTTCAAAAAAAGAACAAATTTGTAGAAAGATTTATTATTTCTACTATTTAAAAATTTTATTAGAAATATGAAAGCTTTCATTAATTTTCATTTAATTGTGTACACAAATATTAAAACCTAATATGTCATTATTTACTCAACATACCCTGCTTAATCACTAAAATCACTTAGGTTCTTAGTTTTAATAATTAATATATATCATTGATTAACAAATTTTGATTGGTTTTTGAGTTTGACATTATTAACAATAAACGGGGCATAAGTTATATTTGGGTTTTGGTTATTATCCCAAATGAAGTAAAAATCCCGATTCCAAACCCAAAATTATGTATTAATGTCATAAAATCCAAAAAAAAGGTTGAGTCGCAACCTAGCTTAAAAAGGCATAAAAAAGGAAGATAATTTCGATTAAAGGGTAAAACTTACGCTTATGAATGAATTTTGTTGCATAAAGAAAAAAGAAACCCCGCAAACATTTCCAAACCCAAAAAAAAATATGACATTCCAATGATGGTCAGGTGAGTGATTAATTGTGTTTTACGACACAACCTTAACACCACCAGCTCCACTGTATCCGCATTTTCTAACAGTGGTATGCGTTGTATTGGTAGAGGTAGGTGAAGTATAATCTCCATCCATAGCCATATTTTCATCATCACTACCATAATTTTGTATATTATTGTCTCCTGAAATTAGATCCGAACGTTCAGGAACAGGAGAATAAGGCATATCATATTGAGTAGAACAACTACTCTCTATATTCATATTGTATCCTTGGGCATTCCTGCGGAATATATCCATAACAGAGCCCAAAAGACGAACGAAGGCATCACGTTTAAGTGCGGCGACACGAACAGGACCGCCTCGTGCAACAACAGTGGCTTTACGAGGTTGATCATTAAGGAGAGCGAGTTCTATTAATTTTAAAATATTATAATAGATAAGTATTTAATAATACTCGACCGACAAAATATAATAATTTAAAAATCTTCTTACCCCCAAAGTAATCCCCCGGACCAAGACTTGGCAATTGCTGTTCGACGCCGTCCTCTTCGACTTTACATACACTCACATAACCTTGTTCGATTATATAAAAATATTCACCAGGTTCGCCTTGATTGATGATCGTATCATCACTTTCATAATTAAATGGCTCTAAAGCCTCGGAAAGTTTTGTAATTTCGGATTTATTTAAAGAAGAAAGGAACGAAACCGATTTTATAAAATTTTCGTAAGTTTTTTGTTGACGATTCATGGCATTTGTAATCGTTCTCCTAAAGTCATCTCTGCTTAAAGCCCATAAAATACCATCAGTTTTTGCTTTAACAGTAGCGGCTCTAGGATTCTTGATAAATAAAATAAAATAAAAAATAAAAAAAATAAAAAAAGAGAATTCATGAGTGTGTGCGCGCAATATTAAAATATATAACATAAGGAAAGTAATAATGGAAAATCGATATAATACATTATACATCAAAGCCAATTCACCAAAACTACCACCGTCAGCAACTATCAGAACCGATTTATCATCGACAAAGATTTCAAACATGCCATGTTCGATAACATAAAAATTGTCACCTTCTTCACCTTGGGTAATGATGGTTTCATTTTTGTGAACGATTTTTTCGAACATAGCATCTATCTAATAATTAAAAGAGTAAGTAACACGAAATAAATAAATTAAAAATATAAAAAATATAGTAAAAAAAAAAAAAAAAAAAAAAAAAGAATTATTTAAAATATTGGTTTAAAATAATAATAATAATAATAATAATCAAAACTTACCACTTGTTCTTTTGTTTCACGGTCCAAATATTTGAAAAGCAAGTTCAGAGTAGTTGCTGCGTTGATTCGTTTTCTCGCTTCTTCGGACTTTGGATGAATCGTACGATCATTAGGATCGTCTGAAGGTCTGATAGATTCAGCACTGACAGAATTACGACGACCTCGTCTTGCCAAAGTACTAGAATAATTACGAATAAAACGAGGAGTAAGATTCGGAGGCGATGGTGGTAAACATTGACGCCTTTGTAACGAATCTTCATCAGAAAGCCGATGAGGAATATGTTGATCAAGATACGAAGTGAAATAGGGAGGCGTTCTGATTTCCATACTAGAAAGATAAATAAAGAAGTTTTAACGAAACGACGTGTAGTTTTGATTCATAATAATTGAAGAGGATACCTAAAAATAAAAATAAACTTACAATGAGTCCTCTTCAGACCTTTGACGTTTTCTAAATGCTACGAGAATAATTTTTATGAAATTAACGCATAATAAATTAAATAAATAGCAAAAATTAAAAGAATGACGCGTGCAAAATGCATCGTGAATACATACTGGGATGTCCAGGCGTTGTCGAACCGTCTCGTTGAATGCTAGCCACACTAGATGGATCGTAAACTTGAGTGGCGTATCCTTCAAAGAGTTTCTACCGAACGACACAAGCGTGGAACGGAACAATTGAAATAAGATTGAAATATTGATGAACATGGAGAAATATATAAAGAAGCGCGTCGCGTGAAAAAAATGTTAGAGAAAATTGAAAAGATCATGATCATAAAAGGAAGATGAAAAAGTGGCTTGGCATATGACACAACACATCCAAGTCGGAGATAGATACAGATACGGTGCATAAAAACGGGGGGGCCAATTAACAACGAAAAAGGTAAGATTTTTTTTTTTTTTTTTTTATATAAACAAATAATACATACTGAATACGAAGGCGGTTCCTTCGACTCCCTCTTTATCTGTTGAACTGATCTCACACAACCGACAATGTAGTCTAAGGGATCGTTTGGCTGGTGACGTTGCAGTCCACCTTCGAGTTCGTTAAGTAGATTCTTTAAATCGTGATGTTCCATATAAGATTCTGCTCGAGGGTCTTGCATGGTTATTAAAATATAAAGGGATATAGGGTAAGTAAAGTTTCTATGTAAAATATAAGGAAAGTAAAATTCGATCTAAAAGAAAATAGATTCGATAATAAAAAGGAAAAGTGTATGCGTAGAGGGAATAGGTGATATTAGATAGAAAATGACTTTTTTTTTTGTACGGACAATATCAATTGATATTATATATAGTATATTATAAGTCTATTTATATATACAAAGTGAGTTTTTCGTATATATATTTTCTACATCAACCAGTATCGTTAAATGATTAAAGCCCTGAGCAAGAACGTTTAAAGAAAATAATTTTTTTTTTTTTACAAAAAAAAAAAAAAAAAAGAAAAAAAAAAAAAAATATGAACTATTCTTTTTTACTAAAAATAATATTTTTCAATAAAATCAGAGTAAAAAATGCGAAGGTGGCTGCGAAATATTTTGGTGGCACGTAAGAAAGAGGGAGAAGACGACGCGCAAAAAAGGGAGCGTAAAGAAAATCGGTAAAAAGTCGCGTTTTTTAGTTTCTTTTATACAGAATTCCAGTGTGGGAAAATACAGGGAACCAAAAAGAATTTTTTTTTCTTTGCAGCCACTGCAGCATGTATTTTTTATCTTTTTCTTTTAGGGGGAAAAGACCGGGGAAGGGGTGATGCGCAAAAAATCAAACAATTTAGGGGACAAGCACGTTGCCCACTAATTACCCGATATGAATATTATACTTACATCAAGAGACCAAAATTAATTATATTGTATGGTTTGGAAAGAATGTGGGGTAATAAAAATGTGGTAAAGTTGAAAGAGTGTCTATAAAAATGTACAAAGTCCCGAAATAACCTTTTTACGCGTTTTTGTTCTCGCGTGCAGATAGAAATAAAAATTTATGCTATAATACAAAAAAAAAAAAAAAAAAAAAGAGTATAGAATAAAATAAAATATACAGAAAAAATTAAAAATAAAAAATAACAATAGAATAAAATAGAATAAAATAAAAAATATATAGTAATAAAATAATATATAGGATCTAACCCAGAAATCACCCAAACACACACTAAAAAAAGAACGTGCGACGAGTGATAAATGAATGATTCAGAAACAGGAGAAAAAAAAAAAAAAAAAAAATCAAAAACGGATGATGCTTGTTTTTTAACAAGAAAGGAAGAGAACGAAATTCAATGGAAGCTTCAAAGGGATAAAAAACAAGGCAGTGAAAGAAGAAAAAAAAAAAAGTAAAAGAGGCATAACAACTAGGGTTTATAACGGAAATCATCAGGGTCGGAAGTTGGAATATTATAGAAGGAATGGCAGGATAGGGTTGATTCAAAGAGTTCTATTGGTGTTTAGGGATTGTTGATAAATAGTAGGAAGACGTAAAAGTCTTTTTAAAGCGTGAAAGATTACCCAAATGCCCATAGGATTATCCATTAACAACAAACAATGACTACCAGTTGCTGCCTGCTTTGGCGCAACTTTCACGATTTTCTTGCATGCGCGAACCCTTTGGCTCAAGCAACCAACTCACCAGCCATATTTGGTAATTGGACATTCAATATCACCCCGTTTTCGATAAACAAAAGGCCTCGCCCCTTCAACCGTAATTTGTAAAATACCGTTGGGAAAAAGTAGTAACAGTTACCGTTTGCGGAGTATTTGCGACAGTGATACAGGCATTCAGACATGACGCAGTGTCATGCAGTTAAAGCAATTCGATGTGGTACATTCATTTAACGGTATTGTAATGACTGTCGATTATCTAGAAACGGATGTAATAAGTATTTTTTCTTGTGATTGTATGCGTGAGTGATTAAATTTTGATTAGAAATTAATTGAATATATATCAATGAATACTTATTAGTTATTGAAAATTGAAATACATATCTGATATCTGATATTGAAATACATATCTGATATTGAAATACTATTGGATAACGTTGAATAACGTCGGATGAAACGTCAAATAAGTTCATATTAAAACTTTTTATTCTAAGTGATAACAAAATGGGGGTTGTGATCTAATGCATGCGCAGAAAGAGGGCATAATTGAAGCACTTACCGTTTCTTTTTTTGGTTTAATGATAACGAAGGCGTGCAGGACCAAGAATGAAAAGAAAGGTATTATAAAATGACATTCGTTATCAAAAATAAGCAATCTTTTCTTGATTAAGAAGAATAAAGATTTAACATTAGCGTTAGCAGTTAAACTTCGATCCCCTGCTTATGAGATAACAATGATATATGGTTGGACAAAGATTTTATGATTAATTATTTCCAAGTTTGTTAGTTTATTAAATTCATTTTAATAATGGCATGTTTCTTTTAAGGCTTTAAATCTTGCTGAGATGAAACCACGCGTGCATTTTACCATAACGGTCTTTACTTTTGAAAACGGTATGTTTATGATCGCACGTACGGTCAACAGGTCGATCGACCAACATTAGTCATGATTTTAAGGGTCCATCAAAAAAATTATCCGCAAATTCCAAGATTTAAAAGCAACTAAAGAAAAACAAGGAAATAATAAACAAGCGATCATTGATAAACAAACAACTATAATCCCTGCAGAAACACAATGCGTGTTTCATCTTTTCTATATGTACTCGTACCGGTAAAAATGATTTTAGAGTAATAGAGTAATTGTTAATAGTACTATAATTGTGTTCGTTAATAACATTTCTGTACATAAACGGTTGGTGATAATATTATCATTATTATATTAAATGATTAACAACTCGTTCTACAATGATTGATGAAATCTATCAATAATATCCAATTATTAATTTATATATTATTATTATTATTATCTTAAATAATTTAAATAATTTAAATAAATAATTACGGTATGATCTTTAAAAGATCTTAAAAGTCTCTCCATAATAATAAAAGATAAAAGGCGATCATCTCTAATATCCGCATTGCGCGATTCTATTACAGTATCATCTGTTTATATGTTAAAATATATTTAGCTGTTAATGATGTTGATATCATCTCAATTAATATTCATCCACGGGAAATAATTAATTTTCCTCGTGTTTTTGAAAAATTTGTTTGTGGTTGGTAGTTGCTTTTGATCTTCCACAAACATATTACAAGACGATAATAATAATACCGATTAATCAAGAGATCTTTTCACCCCTTCACGTCATCCGCATAAAAATAAAGTATCCACGGTCAAGATCCCCTACTAAATTTGGTAAATCCAACAAATTAAATGCATTTTAATCGTTGTAATACAAATTGTTCTTTATGAGCTTAAAAAAAAAATAAAAATAAAAAATGCGCGGGAATTTTTTTTTTTTTTTACATTGCGTTTCTGTTTATCAAACATTCGGCTTCTATTTTGCTACATATTTATTACAATTACAGTATTGCTCTTTTATAGTTCTCATCGTTCGCATAGTAATTTTGTTATAAAATTTGTGTGAGGCGCTGTAAAATTTACTTTTACTGGTATAGTCCCTCGAGATGTACTCGTGTTCAAATATCTTAATAAAATTTTATAGTAATGTCGGAATACTATAATTTTTTAATAACTTGAGTTTATTCCTGATTTTTACTTGGAATAAAACATGTAATATACCCGTGTTAATGTCTCACGAGTTTTTTTTTTTTAATTAACGTTTAACCAATCTAATATCAAGAAATCGACCAATATTCAAACCTTAATTTTATAAAATCTTAATGTTTAGGATATAATAAAATGTTTAAAATTTAAAAAAATAATTGAAATTATTAAATTACAGAATTAGTGTAAAGCTTCCAAGTGCTTGAGCAAGTAAGTACTGTACATACATACATACCATCTTTACGAAGATTTGTTACTCGCCATAATGAACTCGAATATAGAAATAATCAAAACTTTAAATTTTATTTAGTCTATCATTATAGTAAATCTGTTATACTTATCGGCTGTCGATTAGCAAGTCATATCCGTGTTCAAAATTCTGGGTGCGTCATCCTGAATCCAGAATTTTGAATACTGATATCAGATATTGTTAATGGCTGTGCAATGTACCGATAAATTAAGACTATGGCTTTTGTTTTACATGATTAAATGTCCACATGCTTCCTTAACAGGATTAAATTTGATTGTACCAAGAAATAATAGTTAACCGGTAAGTAATTAAAAGTACTGAAAATAAATAATTAATTATCATAATATATAACATCATGTTATATATCTGATATATAATACATTACATTATATTTCAAAGAGGCGGACTAAATGAGTTATCCTAAATGCGTAAGGTTAATATCTAAATGCATAATGTTAAATGTGTTTGGTTTCCTCAAATTTACAAGCTTCATTTTTATATGCTATATACAGTAGTCTGTCGCATTTTTGACATGATTGTATTAATCATCGTAGTAATCATAGTAATCTAGTGTAACCCTTCAAATTTTCCCTAATTCTGGTCGAATCTGAAATTTGGGGCTAAAAATTTGTTAAATCCAGTCAATTAGTCAGAAATCAATGTAATTGCATTTACAGCCTAAAATTTGTCTGACAATCTTGCTTTAATGAAATTTCTATGCACAAGAAAAAATGTTAGAATTGTCTTAGACTTCTTTCGTATTCCACATTTTCTGGCAACTGATAAATAATGTAAACAAATAATTTTATTTATCAATATTTTTTTAATATTATTTTTTAATAAAATCTTATCAACACTCCAATCCTTCATATTTAAATATACACAAAATATTTAAAATCGGGTTATATTATCATTTGAATTGACTTTGATGATGGCTTTAAATTTATCCATCATTACAATTACCTCTTAAATATTTTATCTTTATACTACAAAATTTGTCCTATCTATTCTTTTTGTCTCTTCAATAATAATTATAATAAATATGATAATAACTTGCGTGCAGGATGTTACGATTTTTCTGGCCATCCTTTCTCCCCGTTTTCACCTTCCTCCAGTGAATCTTGTTGATTAACTACACGTAATACTGCTTTTTTGCTTGATTCCTGCATTTCTCCCGCAATAATCAATTCATCTAAAACATAGTATGCCTAAAATATCATATTCAGGTCACTTCATAAGTAATGAAATAATTTATGTAATTATAAACCGTGAAATAATCGATACCTTCTGGAAATTAAAGATTAAATCCAATTCACAAACCTAAAACCAAAAAGTACATTAAATAAAATTGATCGAAAAAAAAAATATATATAACGTAAAAAAATGAATATTACATTGCCAAAATATCGATCTAAAATTTCAACATATCGATGAATAATTTCAAGCGTTATAAGTTCATTATCTGAAGCTGAAATTCCTGTGACAAAAAATAAACTTGCGTATCTATTACAATATAAAAATTTAGTTAATCGATTCTTATTTACCAAGTTGAGTATTTGTTTTGGTCTGTTTGATAAAATAATACCTTCTATATACAACTTTCTCATCTATGATTTAATTTCGCGCAATGAAAGTTAATAAAATGATTAGCAAAGAAATTATGATCCTAGAAAATCTAAATGAAATAAATTGCAAATTAAATAATTTCAACAAATTAAACAAACCTTTATATTCTAAAAAATTACACATTTTAGTACGTCGCGAAAGTACCATTTGTGTTACTTCTTTGACGATTTTTTGTTTTTCTTTTGGTGAAAGTGTATTGAACCATTTTGCAAGTCTTACTTTTCCTTGTCTACTAACCAGTAGTACGTATTTTATCTGTTAAAAAAAACAGTAAAATTAATTAACAGTTAATAGGACAGGAACGACGAAACATATTACAAGCATACCCCCATTGGTAACAATTTTATTGAGAGAAAAGGCTTTTGCAAAATATTTATACTGTATATTCACAGCTTGTAAATCTGCGAGTTTGTGTTACTTCCAAATTAATCGAGCCAATCATCATAAATTTAAATTTCATAATCCTAAAGATTTTTTATATAATGATTTCTCAATTTTTTATTTTATCTCCTCAACGAGGTGACACGTTAATATTTCGTGATTGTAAGCTTAATGTAATTTTTTTTTTTCTTTTATACTCTGTAAATGTTCCATATAATATATTTACTTATCCATAATATTATTTCACAGACCGTCATGACGTTCCTCGCGATACCTCTGATCTATTTATTGATAGATTAAAAACTTGGCATAAAGAACATGGCCCAGATCAAGATCCACCACCAATCTTTAATGTCGACGGTGTTCAAATTTTGTTCACAAATATGCAAGGATTATATTTCGTATGCACTACGAAATTTAACGTGTCTACTTTCATGACTTTTGAATTACTCGACCGTATTGCTGGTTTAATTAGAGATTTTTGTGGAATATTAAGTGAGGAATGTGTGCGACTGAATTCAAGTTTGATTTACGAATTATTAGATGAAGTAATTGTAAGTATTTAATTATATCAACCATTGATAAACAAAACTATCTTTCTAATTTTTTATTTATAATATTTTATCAGGATTATGGTTATCCTCAGACAACATCAACCGACCACCTAAAATCTTTAATTTACGAAGAGCCTATACCTGTCAAAAAAGAGAATATAATAATGAATTCTCTAGCAAAAGTGTGATTGGAAAATTTTCTTATTTTGCCTCGTTAACTGAATTATTATATTGAAATTGATCATTAATTATTGTTTAGTTAAAGGCTCATGAGTCTTCCAGCAATAAGCCAATCAGTAAACCAGTTACTCATTCACGTGATGAAGGAAAATACAAGCAGAATGAAGTCTTTATTGATATTATCGAACGACTTGTTGCTTCTTTTGCTTCCGATGTGGGTATGACTTTTTATGTTTATTCAATTTTTAAAACAACATCTATTAAAAAAAATATATATATTACCTTTGACAATATTATAGGGGATGACGATCCATTCTGAAATCAATGGATCAATACAAATCAAAAGTTATCTACAAGATAACTCTGAGATTCGTATAATCCTCAATTCCAATATAAGCCATGGTCGAGATACTTATCATACTGGTATGTCAACTTCTTATGTATTTACTTTAAATTTTGTCTCACAAATCGTTCATTCTTATATCTTAATTGACAAAAGATGATCGGTTTGGGATTATGTTTGATGATTACAAGTTTCATGAATCAGTGGATTCGTCAAGTGAGTTTATTTATTGCTTAGATTAATCTCATATGATTTTGGGTTATTGATTTTTATTGGTCTTATTATATTATAATAGATTTTGAAATGCACAAACAATTGGTTATATTTCCACCTGAAGGAGAAATAACCGCTATGTGGTTAGTTTTTCGAATATTACTAGTAGGATACGAATAATTATTTATTAAATCTGACAATAATTAATGATTTTTAGTTATCGAATATCCGGCGATGTTAGTTTGCCATTTCGGATATTTCCACAAATTTTGGACGTTCCAGGAAGTCCAAATAAAATGGATGTTATTATTCGAATTCGGGCAGATTTTCCCGAAGATAAGATTGCGACAAATTGTACAGTAATTGTACCTTTACCGCATATTACTCAAAGGTATATTAATATATATATATTTTTTCATTATTTATTGCATAATTTTATTACGATTCCATAGTTTTGGTTTATTATTTTTTACTATAGTGTATCAAATGAACATCTGGATGGATATGCAGATCAATCAGCCAGATATGATAGTCGAGTAAGAAAGGTGTTTTGGACTATTAATAAGTTAAAAGGTGGTACTGAGCAATCATTCAAAATAAAGGTAGGGTTATTTTTTTTATTTTCAATGGAGGTAATCATGTAATAACGTCAATATCAATTATAAAAGATTTCTTATTAAAATAATGAATATAAATTTCTATAGTTACTAAATGTCTATATCATTATTAGGTTACGGGTGCAAATCAGTTTTCCCCTGCAGCCCATTTGGAAATAGGACCTATCAAGTAAGAATTTTGAGTTTTCGTTTGAGTGCCGCCAAGGGAAAACCTGTCATCAATCATATAAACTTTATATGATTAATGGCAAGTTCTCTTGGCGGAACTCTACACACAAATACTAATAATTATTATTTATTCAAAATTTAAAATCTATAGCCTTGAATTTGATATACAAAATTACACATCTTCTAGCATTCAAATTCGTCGTCTTAAAGTTTTTGAAAAGAGTGATTCACTACCACCACAACGATGGGTTAGATATTTGACTCTCGCTGAAAGTTATGTATTTCGTATTTAAAATAATAGGTTAAATCGAAAAATATTATTACAGTCAAACCTTTTTTTATTATCAAGTTCTGTATTATTAGTCAGTCCTCTTATATATCATCGGTTCCATGAATTGTTAATTCAGGTGGTTGGTTGCATATTTATCTCTCAATAATATTATTAGTAGCATCATTAGTTTTTAATGAGGAACAATTATTTCAAATGCATATTATAATTTAATTCCTCTAGAATTTTAGACTAAATAATAATAGTAATAAACCTTTTAACAATCAAACCCTTCAGTATACATATATATCTTTACCCGGGTTTGTTTATATAGAGATACTGTATATGCTTATATATCACCAAAATTCCTAGTTATTTTTAACAATAAGGTTAATTTTATAAATTGTTGGGTTTTTGTTTTTATAAACCAAAATTTTTGTATAAGCTATTCTTTCATTAACTTTACAATTGGCAAATCGATATGATTTTTATTGCTACCACGGTATAATTTATATCAAATATTAAACATATTTGTTGTGTCTCAGATTAATACTTGCGTCAGATTAAAACCATTAGGCTAGCATTAAAATGATCTGCAATAATCGGCCTGGCTAAATCTTAGTCTTCGCCCTAACTCTATCTCTAATTTGGGCCAGTTTAATCTGACGCAAGTATTAATCTAAGACACAATATTTATATCTTAATTTAATCAATATGTCTATCTAAAACTTGACTACTATAATTATCTTTATTAATACTAATTTTATAATAATAGCAATAGCTAATATAAAATATTCTATTATTATTATTTTTTTTTTTTAAATTTAGATAACCTTATCTTTTATTTTATTGTGGAGAATATTTTATATAAAAATTATCACTGGTTGAAATTTGCAAAAACAGTGCTAAATCAGTAAACATTCAGCATAGTCCAAACAGAGAACAGAAGGTATTTATCAATAATATATTATTTTAGTAATAATAATATATTTTTAAAGTTTAGTTTTAAAATTATTTAGGTTGGTTTGAGAAGTGAATAGTTTATGTTGTTAAGTTCATGCTTTAGAAGAAAGAGTAGAAGAGCAACAGGAGATTATTGTTGAGAATGTTTCGAGAAGTTGGATGAGAGATGTGGAGTATGAGAGGTTGTTAAGAGAAAAGAATAGGTTGCAGGTTTGAGTGTTAAATTTAGAAGATGAAGTTAGAAGAAGGAGAGGAAATAATAATAATAATAATAATAATAATAATAATAGTGAAAGTAGTAGTAGTAGAGAAAGGATGGTAAGGTTTGAATTTTTTGGAGAAAGATAAATATAAATAAAAATTAAATAAATAAAATAAAAATAAAATTTTGTTGTTGAAGTAAATTCTGTTTCTAAATATTATAAGTATTAAATAATTAAATGAAGTGATGAAATAAAATAAAGTAAAAATAAAATAAAAAAATAAAATAAAAAATTAATAAATTTGGATTCTATAATTTCATAGTGGGCTAGAAGATAAAAGATCTTTTATAAATTACAATATGTAGTAAAAACTTTAAACCTAAGATTTTTCTGTTTTATGCATAAAACAAAATGAACAGAAAACAAGATAGCATCTATCATATTCGAATAGGCTAGAGCTTACAAGAGGCCTTTACTACTCATAATTTTACACTGTCAATAATCATATATAGTTTCCAAAATTCAGATTAACAAATATGCTAACAAGTTACAATACTTGTTATTCACAGTTACAGCTACTACATATTTTGTTAACTAAGAAAAAGAAAAGTAAAACTAATATTAAAATAATTAAAGAGAATAATAATAAAAAAAAATAATGTTTGATGAAAATTAATGATGAAGAAGGATTTGAGTAAGAAAAATGAAAGAAAGCAAGGAGAGAATAAAGTCATTAAGAAAAAGGAGTAGAGATATTGAGCAGAAAGTTTTTGTTATTAAATTTAAGAGCATAAGAGAAGAAAGAAGAATATTGTTTTTTTTTTTTAAATGTAGAAATTTTTACACTAATTTTTATAGGTGCAGGATTATTTTCTTGTTGTTGTTGTTGCTCTTAGAGTTGTTGTTAGGCTTGGAGTTAACCAAGTTATTGTGTTAAAGCATTTTGAACATTAACAAGTAGTCTGATAGCATTTATTAAATCTTATACAGATATCATTTTGTTTAGAAAAATTATAAGAAAGAAACTAACAAAAATACAAATAAAACAAGTATATAGCAAAGTAAAAAGGAAATAGTGTGTAGGAAATAAAGTGTGTGTAGTATGGTAAAAAGCTTTCTGCTGCTACCAAGTTGTAAAGATTTAGTTATAATAAGATGTTATTATATAGTTTTTGCTAATAAATATTTAATTTTTATTAAAAAAAATTTTATCAGGTTTAAATAATTTTTAAATATAAATAATTTTAAGAATAAAAATATATTAAAAATAAAAGCTTAGTTTGCTCATTAGGCTTACTAATCTATCTAGAAAATTCTGATATAAAATAATATATAAATAAAGATAAAAATAGAAAATAAATATAAATCATTACAAATTAAAGTTAATCATTAATACACATATTAATCATATTATTGATAAGCAAAATTGCACTATAGGATGAAGTAAATGAGTTATAATAATACTTGTCTATCTATATTATATTTGCTAAATTAATTCTTATTATATTTGATAAGCTAATAAGCTAAATATAGCTAAATTAATTATAGTAATTAGCATATTATTAAGAAAAGACTTAGAAAAATAATAAAAAAGAAAAATTACAGAGAAATTATAGTATTGTTACAAATAAATAGAGAATAAATAAAGTAGAACATATGTAAAGATAAATAAAAAGTAAATATAAACATATAGCAAATAGATGTAGCTAGCAGAGTAAATATGTAAGTAGAAAGATATAATTGCACAAAGATAGAGTAGATAGTAAATGTAAAGTGAAGATAGTAAAGAAATACAAATACTTAGCAAGGTATCATGATAAGAGAAAAGAGATATGAGAAAGGAACTAATTAACAATCTCAGTACGATATAAATAAAGAATTACAAAAAAAGTCTTTATTATAAAAAAAGTATTATGAAGATAATATTTAGTAATACTTAATAATACTTAATAATATTTAAAGAAACAGATAAGTATCTTAGGAAGGTTATAAACATGATTAGTTAGCATAGTAACACTTTATATTAGAATAGATTTCTTTTTTAATAATTATAATACAGAAGATATTTTACTTTGAACTATCAATAACTAACTTGTAAGCTAAAAATCTAAACAATACAAAAACTATAACTCAGGACTAATTTAAAAATACAAGCTATAGATTATTGAATACAAAATTAGGCTAACAACTAAAAGATAATCTATTGGTATTATAATAGATCTTGTATAAATAAAGACAATAAAAATAATAATAACTATATAGAGAACTAATCTATAAATAGAAATAGATATAGATATATCAATATATAAATATAGAGATAAAAGTGTTAAAAAAGATAAAAATAGAGTAAGTGTTTAAATAAAATGCAGTTACAATAGTAATACTAGCAATTAATTCAATTAATTGAATTAATTTCATTTTTTAAATATATCATGAAAGAAGAATTAAATAGCAAAAGAGAGTTTAATGATTAAATAGTTTGAATAAATAAGTTAGAAAAATAATATTAAATAAATAAAATGTAAAAATGAAATTTATTTAGTAAAATAAATCATAATTAAAAATTATTATAAATAAAAAGCACAAATGCTCAAGAAAACTAAGTATCGCCTTTGCTTCATTATAAAAATAAAGTTGAGTTTGCTTTACTAATTAATAAAAGTCCCAATTTTATTGAATAATTGTCACTCATAATATTATATTAGCACTGTTTCGCTAACATACTCCTTAAGTTCTAAATTATATTTTGTTATTTGTTTAACCTCTTGATTATGTAACCCAACCCTTTCGGATACTTGTGACCCAAGTAACCTAAGCCTTAACATACCTCAGCCTAATCTAATATACCTCTTTTGAAAGGTTACTTAGCTTTGGTTACGTGTGTTTTTGTATTGTTGAGTAACTGAGTCATAGTCTTTTCTATTTATAATAGGTAGTGATGGGCCTGCACAAAATCTACATAGGATTACATATGGATCATACATGTAAAATGCATATGATTTTTTGAATACTATGTAGGATTTTTAATATTATTCCTAATTTAGGCTAGTTGGCTTGCATTAATATAATTTTAAGAAACCTACAATGTAATCCTATTATGCACATTATGTGCAGATTATATGCATAACCAGTATCCTGCTCAGAATATTTTAGAAAACCATGATTTGTCTATCACTACTTATAGGTGATATTGAAAAAGTCTTAATTGGTTCTAGATTAGAACTCATTTGGAGATCTAGTTATACAGAGGTTTATGACTAACTAATCTAATCTAACTATTCAAATAATCCAAAAAATTAACTAAAGTGTAACCCTAAGTTGGAAAGACTTGAAAGAGATGAGGATTAACTTGGTCTGAATTTAGGATTACTTGAGTAGATATATAGGTTGTTGAATTGAGTTTTGAGATTATATTGGGTTTATAATAGTTTTCTTTATGAATATTATTGGACTTGGTCACATTATCTTGAAGTCATAATTTAGTCATGATTTGGTCACAATTTGAATTATGATTTAGGTATTACAAGGTTTCAAAATTATTAATGAGTCGATTTTAACAATTATGATATTGATTAATAATTTAATCAATTCAAAATACAATAAAAGAGGATGTGATATAACAACTTGGGCACTTTTACTCTAACTACTAAAAACTAGATATAGTGAAAAAGAAAATTTATGAGTTTAACACAACTAAAGTATCAATTTGAAATGATTTACTAGGTAATTTATAATAAGTTTTTATAACAAGAATAATTTTATTAGAAAAGGGAATTCTTAGACTTAGATACTTCTACTTTTATTGTTTTCAAAGTTTTGAACTTCAAGAGTCTGCCTTTATTGTAGTCAAAGGTAAACACTTTATATACATAATTTTACATATACAACAAATTTCAAAAATTTCTTAAATTTACAGGACTTCGTAAATTTACTAAAATACTAAAATTTCTTAATTTTATAGTAATTTGTAATCTTCCCAAATTTCTAGGTTTTCCAAAATTTATTTAATTTTTATATTTTGCTAAACTTTTAAAACTCTCAAAATTTTCAAAATTTTCAAAATTTCAAAAATTTTAATGATTACTTTCTGAACTGGGTGCAGAATCGAGATTGGCAATTTTACTCTTTACAGTTTCTTCCCCTCTAGAAAAAGCATATTCTATGAGTAAGTTTTGACTAAGTAGTAAAATTCTTCATTTCTTAATGTAGTGATAATAGAGAGAGTTATGTATTTAGTGCGATAGAGTTGCTCTACACCAAGAGATTTGAACAAATAGTAGATTTGAGTAGCAGATTTTACAAAGTAGGCAGTATATTTTTCTTGATAAGAAGCCTTTTTTTCTGTAGTCATTAGACGATATCAGGCCCTGAAATAATAGATATGGGCAAGGGCATTAGCTTTCCTTCTAGTTTCTTTAGCTCTTTTTATTTGATCATGAGTGAAGAATAATTGAGTAGTAATGTCTTGGTCTGAATTATAAGGGCATGGAATAGGAAGCACAAAAAGTAGTGTACTTGACAAGAGGTCTTCTCGAATGAGTTCATCAGTAGTAGACATTTTTTTTTTTTTTTTTTAATTTGAATTTAAATTTGTTGTTTTCTCAGAATTTCTACTCTTTATATATTTATTTCGTTATACAGTTTTATCAATTTCTTATTAATAGATATTGCAAGCAGTCTTTCATCAAATTCCTGTAACTTATACGTACTATTCATGAGAATTGCTTGAATATAATATAGACGTTTCTATTTTAGTAGAAACTTGTGACTACATGTACTCATTATCTTGGAGTTATATACTAGAACTTTGTCTCCTATGTAGAAATCGGGTATGGCTTTGATTTGTAGATCATATTTTTCTTTTTGTTTTCTTTGATTTGTCTGAATTTGTATCAGGGCTTAGCTGCATGCATTTGGTAGATCATGGTCGATCTCATACATCCGTTAAATAATAGTTTCATTCAATAAGTTGTCTGACTCACTTGAATATATTAGTAATATTGCTTTCTTCTCGTATATTAAATGAAATAGCATTTGTTGTATGGAGGCTTGTTTTGTAGTTCTATACACGAATAGTGTAGGCTATATTATAAGATCCCAGTTTGTCATATTAGTTACTATCCTAGCTATAGAATGACATAATGTTTTATAAATTATTCTACAAGCCTATTTGTCTGAGAGTAGTATGGGGTTGAGTATTGGTGCTTAATGCTCAAAGCTACAAGCAATTTATCAATTAATCTATTCCTAAAATAGGATTCTCTATTAGAAAGTATGTATCTTAGGTATTTGTGTCTATATACTATTTCTTCATAGATGAACTTTGCTACTTCTTCTGCATTGTCCTTAGGAATTGCATGCACTTCAGGCTATTTGGTCATATAGTTAGTTGCTATGACAATATACCTATTAGATCGAGGCATTATATGTAAAGGGCCTATTATGTCTATGCCTATTCTATAAAACGAGACTATAACAAGTATGGGGTATAATACCTCTTTTGACTTTCGATCTCTTTGCTTTTAGCAATTCTCGCAAATTCTAACATATTTACTTATATCATGATATATCTGAGGCTAGTAATAATAATCGTGAATTTTGTTGAACATAATATTTTTCCCAAAATGAGCTTCAAGAGGATGATCATATACTAGAATAAGTATCGAGTTGAGTTTATCTTTTCTTAAGACTTTTAGTAAGTAGTCTTGTTTCCTTCTATCTTTTTTGTATAGCACTTTATTCCCTACTATAAAGAACCTACTTTGCTTTTCCAGACTCTTTTATTGATCATTATTATAATAGGAGAGTATTTGCCTATATCTAATAAAATTTTTTAATATTTCGTATTGTTGTAATTCTATTTTTCTATTTTTGCCAAGACACTGGTACCTGAGCTGGATTCTGTTCTTCAGATTTGTAAGTGGCAGTTCTCTTCTCTTTTGGTTTTGTGATTTGTCTTAATTATTTATTTCTTTTTTAGTTAATCATTGTTTCTTTCATTCAAGTTTTCTCTTAATGTGCTTCTCCTCGCACATTATAGTCATGACCAACTAGTTTTTGTCATGTCTTTTACTTCAATTTTTTTTTATTTTTATTTCTAATAGTCATTTATATCCTACTAGGCTTTGCTAGTGCCTAAACTATCTAGTATCCTATTGAAGTAACCATCTTCGTTATAATAATTATCACTTTCAGAGTCATCATATGTTAGACTTCTATATTCTTGGTCTAACTCAAGTTTGAAACCTTCGACATTTTCATCAACAAGGTAAACTTCATTTTTCTTATCTTCATTGTCTAATGAATAATATTCTTCCTCGTACCTATTTTGTAATACTCAGGTCAACTCTCTCTCTGACTCAAGTACCAGGTTCCATAAAAGTTAATGGTATCAGGCCTCATACTGGTATTGGGTAAGTTTCTCTTCTCCTGAGGTGAGCCAGAATTCTTGTCTGTTGTTTTCTTTATTAATTTCTTTCTCATAGAATTCTGTTATATAGTCACTGTTCTACTCATCATCACTTTCATAGTTGATAATCTCTCTCTCCACATTATATCTCTCATCTTTTTCACTTTCTTCTGAGGTGTAGTGTTCAACATTTATATGAAACACTTCTTGTTCCTCTTCTAGTATATTTCAAGTTTTAAATTTGTAAGAATTTTCATTATCTGATAGAATTCCTTCATCCATGTCATTAGGATTGGTGCTGCTCAAGGACCAATCTATCTCATCTTCATCTGTTACTTCAGCTAAATCTTTATCTACAATCTTTATTTTATTCAATTTACATTCTTTACCTAATTAACTTCTTCTTTCATTTTTAGCCTGAAATTCTTCATTATATAGTCTTTCTTGTTCTTCTCTAGTAGTTATCACTTTTTCTTTTTCACTTTTCAACTCTAGTAGCTACTCTATCCAACTTATTCAGTTTTCTTCTTCATTTTCAGATCCTCCCAAGTAGATTATCTTCGATTTGAATCCAAAACATTTCTACTTCTTTGGCCAGATCTATGACATAGACTTCTAAGGCTTCTTTGTGACTTTGTAGTAGTAAGTTTTTGGGTTCTTCTCTACTATTCTTAATAACAAGTCTGTATTGTTATGCTTTCATCTAGCTCTATACATTATAGTAAAATAATAGAGCTGGAGACACAAAACTCAATAGATTTTCCTTCTATTTAATGTCATTGTCTGCAACTACTTTAAGGCAGCATAATCTGTTACCACTATGAATAGTTTAAATTCCAAATAATAGTGGAAGTGTTCTATAGCTCAAATTACTGTGTAGCACTCCAATTCTGTTGTGGAGTAGTTTCTTTCTGAGCAGGTTAAGCTCTTACTTGCATATACTATTACATACTCTTTTTTGTCTTCTCCTTTTTGGGCTAATATAGTACCAAGGCCAACTCCAGATGCATTTGTGTAAAGATAGAAAACCTTAACGAAATCTGAATATCTTAGGATAGTTGCTATAATAAGGGGTCTTTAACATTTTAAATACCTGTTCTTGTACTTGTCCCTATTCATATCTCACTTCTTTCTCTAATAAATTGTGTAGAGGTTTGGTGATAGTTGAGAAGTTCCTTATAAAACGTCAGTAGTTAGAGGCCAATTCAATAAAGTCTCTTAATTGCCTCAGATTAGTTAGTGTTAGAAATTTTTAGACCTTTACTATCTTTTCTAGATCAGGTTTAATACCATCCTTTCCTACTACATAGCCTAGAAATTAGAAGTTATTTTTAAAAAGTTTACATTTTTTGGGATTTAGTTTTAATCTAGCTGTTTTAATTTTATCAAAGACTTTTCAGAGGTGGTTGAGATGTTTGAGTAAGTCTTGAAATAGATGATAATATCATCTAAGTACACAGCAATAAATTTGCCATTATATTCGTATATAATATAGTTCATAGTCCTTTAGAATATAGCTAAAGTATTACATAGACCAAAGTGCATTACCTTAAAGGCATAGACTCCTTGTCTGGTTATGAATGCTATTTTTTCTTAATCTTTCTTTCTTACTGGTATTTGCCAATAGCCGCTAGCTAAATCTAGACTTGAAAACCAGTTGGCTTTCCTAAAGATTTCAAGTAGATTATTAATTCGAGGCAATAGGTAAGAGTTCTTTTTTATAACTAAGTTGAGTTTCTAGTAGTCAATACAGAGTCGTAGTTTTCTATTTTTTTTGGGAACTATTACTACAAGTGAGGTCTATAGGCTTTTTATTTCTTCGAATAGGTTATTTTCTAACATCTTTTTGATTTTTTGTTCAAGAATTCTTACTCATCCAGTGCAATCCTATATTGTGATTGTTTAATAGGTTTAGTATCACCAGTATCTATTTCATGTTGGATTTCAAGAGATTGTACTAATTAGTTTATCCCTGTAGCAAATAAACTATCGAATCTTTTTATCATTTGTATAGCTTCCTTTTGTTGTTGCTTTTCTAGAGTTTTGACTTTCACTAATCATTCAATTATTTCTTTAGAGGTTTGTTCAGGCTAATTATCTTCCTCAATAGTAAATAATTCTTTTATAGCAGTTAGGTAAATTACTGGGCTGTATTCACTTCTTATGGGTTTGTATATAATTCTTTTTTATCTGATATAGTTTCTTCTGTTTAGTAACCTTCTACTTCTTCACTATCATCCTCTTTGTATGTATCAAAAAAGTCATTCTCATTGCTACTGTACAACTCTTGGGGAATTTCTAACTTGTCTTCTCTACTTTGAATTATAGGAATTTTGGTATTTTTTTCTAGATATCTGAAGAACAATTTCCTCTCGTCAAAATGTAGCTAAGCTTGGACTTTTTGAAACTAGTCAATTCCCAACAACATGGTTTCATCTGATGAGTCTATTACTTGAAAGTTAGTAGATATTATGATGCTTCCAATAGCTAGTTTAACATTAGATATTTTTCTTAATGCCTTTTCTCTATTCATATTAGCTGTTACCATAGTAGTAGTTGAGGGTTCTTGAATAGTAAGACCTAGTTTATTCATTAATTTTTTTTATAAAATACTGATGGCAGTATCTTAGTTTAAGACTACTAATATGGGGTTATTTTTAATTCTAACATAATATTTAGCAGCTATTGTTCTAATGTTGAGTAAGGGTTCTGCCAGGTTAGTTTCTTCTGAAGTTGAAATAAGTGGGCATTATAATGCTTGAGCCAAGTTATGTCTTTGTTTCAGAATTTGAAGCATTTAAGCATAAGTAGCATTTGCTCTTTAGTTTAAAAGGTCTTCAGCAATATTATACTGGAGAGAGTATCTACAACTGAAGGACCTCTTCACTTTTTCAGATGATTTTCTTTTTTAGTTAATCATTGTTTCTTTCATTCAAGTTTTCTCTTAATGTGCTTCTCCTCGCACATTATAGTCATG